GTGGGCCCAGAGTGTTCGACTGGCTGTTGGAGGCTGCGGGAAGCTGGGTCTTATCTCAGGTACATCCAAACCACCAGACGCGTCAGACTCGGCTGCCTTAGTGAAGTGGGGAGACCGACAATTCCTTGGTGGCTTCTTGGTTGGTTAACTCTATGACCCCTCAAATCAGACGGTCCTTTATGTTTCTCCCGACAGCACGGGATATCTGGGACGCAGTCAAGGAGTCTTACTCGGATGGAGAAGATGGTGCTCGAATCTATGATCTCAAAACTCGAAGTTGGCAGATCAAACAAGGTGAGCGTGATCTTACGGAATTCTGGTTGGAGTTAGTTTCAGTGTGGCAAGAGATTGATCTCAACATAGAAACCGAGTGGTCTTGTCCGAGTGATGCAGCACGGTATAAGAGGCTTATTGAAGATGAGCGAGTATTCCAATTTTTGGCTGGTCTTCATCAATCATTAGATGATGTTCGTAGTCGCATACTGGCTCGCTCTCCTCTACCATCTACTCGGGATGCATTTGCTGAGGTTCGTCGTGAGGCGTCTCGACGCAAGGTGATGTTACCTGGAATTTCATCAACCCTTCCTTCATCCGAGGTGTCTGCTTTAGTGAGCCGACAATCGGATCAAGGCCAAAAGGAATCAAGAGGAAAGGTTGTTTGTGAGCATTGCAGAAAGACAGGCCATTCAAAAGATAAATGTTGGGACCTCCATGGAAAACCACCTGATTGGAAACCACGTAAAGGTAAATCTCGTGGCTATCAAACTACTTCTGATTCTACTTCAGACAAATCTGGCTCTGCTCCAGACAAATCGGGTACCTTGCCTATCATCGACAAGGATCAGTTAAATAAGCTTCTAGAGATGCTCCATAGTTTACAATCTAACCAGTCGCCTCCATCTCATAATGCTTCCGTTGCTAAGCAAGGTAATTCGCATTTTGCATTTAATGTATGTTCCACTAAATCAAAGTGGATTGTTGACTCCGGAGCCTCAGATCACATGACTGCAGACTCTACCTTGTTTACCTCATACTTTCCCTGTAGTGGCCATGAAAAGATTGACACAGCAAACGGTACATCCTCTCCCATTGCAGGAAAGGGTAGTATCATTGTTTCTAAATTTCTGCACCTTGAGTCTGTCCTTCATGTTCCCTATCTTGCGTGCAATTTACTATCCATTAGCAAGTTAACTAAACAAGCTAAATGTAGTGCTCACTTCTTCTCTACTCACTGTATTTTCCAGGATCTCTCATCGGGGAGGATGATTGGCAGTGCTGAGGAGTGTGATGGGCTATACTACCTTGATGAATCAACCGTGAGTAATCTATGGTCCCGAATCTACTGCAACCTTGTGACTACTTCTGAACAAGCTGATCTTTTGTTATGGCATAAAAGAATGGGTCATCCCAATGTCCAATATTTGAGTCATTTGTTTCCAAATTTTTCATCTAATAAAATTTCTAATTTTCATTGCGATATTTGTGAATTAGCCAAACACCATCGCTCTTCTTTTCCACGGTCTAAATATAAGCCTTCTAAGCCTTTCTCTCTTATCCATAGTGATGTTTGGGGTCCATCTCGTGTCTCTAATCGAACTAGAGCCAAGTGGTTCGTTACCTTCATTGATGACCATACCCGTGTATGTTGGGTATATTTAATGAAAGATAAATCTGAGGTACCTTCTATTTTTATCGAATTCTATACCATGGTTCTTAATCAGTTTAACACGTCTATCAAAATTCTACAAACAGATAATGGCACTGAATATGTCAACAAGTCCCTAAGTGACTTCCTTAATGCTCGGGGCATTATCCATAAGACCTCCTGTACAAATACACCCCAACAAAATGGGGTAGCCGAACGCAAAAATAGACACCTGTTGGATGTTGCCCGTGCCCTTATGTTTACCACAAATGTGCCAACATATTTCTGGGGAGATGCCATTCTTACCGCCACCTATCTCATTAACCGCATGCCCACAAAAACTCTATCCTACACCACACCCCTCGAGTGTCTCCGGCAGACCCACTCTCTCACCCATCTTGAAACCGTTCTTCCATTAAAGTTATTTGGGTGTTCTGCGTTTGTGCATCTCCATTCCTCTTCCAAGCTTGACCCACAAGCTGTCAAGTGTGTGTTTCTTGGTTACTCCTCACACCAAAAGGGATATAAATGCTTTGATCCATCCTCTAAACGCCTACTCATCAGTCATGATGTTACTTTTTCTGAATCTGAACCTTTCTATTCATCACCTTCAATTCAGGGGGAGAGTTGGAGTGAATTTCAGGAATATTCTCCCATTGAACCTATTGATTCTCTTGACCCTCTTGACCATCCCACTTTACTTGAGCCTGTCTCTTTTATTCCAGAATCAAAAGAAAATGCAAGTTCAGGGGGAGATAAGAACACAGGTGCAGAAGGTAAAGAGATCAAAGTTTACACGCGGAAGAAGAAGCATGGTACAAAAGCTCTCATACCTGAAGCAGTACCGGAATCAGAACCGATGACAGATCCTATGGGAGATAGTCCTAAAGAAGATGAGAATGATAATCCTGATGAGGAAGAAGGTTCAAAAAGTTCAGAAGATGACTTGGAGGTGCCTATTGCTCTCAGGAAGAAGCCAAGATCATGTACACAACATCCTATTCAGACGTTCCTATCTTATAAAGCCTTATCCCCAGGATATCGGGTTTTTATTGCAAATGTGGATGGTGTTTGTATCCCTAAGGACATTCATGAGGCCCTGAAAACGTCTGAATGGAGAGAAGCTGTCTTGGAAGAAATGAAAGCCTTGGAAGAAAATGAGACTTGGGAGGTTGTGCAGAAACCAAGAAACAAGAAGCTGGTTAGTTGCAAGTGGGTATTTACCCCTAAATATAAGGCTGATGGAAATCTTGATAAATTGAAGGCTAGACTGGTGGCAAGAGGGTTTACACAGACCTATGGCATTGACTACCAGGAAACATTCGCACCAGTGGCAAAATTGAACACCATCAGAGTATTGTTATCCGTAGCAGCCAATCTTGAATGGCCGTTACAACCAACTAGACGTCAAAAATGCCTTCCTAAATGGAGAATTGAAAGAAGAAGTTTATATGACTCTACCTCCTGGCTTTGATAAAGGAAGGGAGAATCAGGTATGTAAATTGAAGAAATCATTATATGGGTTGAAACAGTCTCCAAGAGCATGGTTTGATAGATTCTCAAAAGTTCTAAAGCTACAAGGCTACAATCAAGCACTATCGGATCATACTATATTCGTTAAAGTAGAAGGGGGCAAGAGGTGTGTCCTTATTGTATACGTTGATGATATAATCATCACTGGTGATCATAATGAGGAAGCGGCAAGAATAAAGGCTGTTCTTGGAAAAGAATTCAAGGTCAAGGACTTGGGTTGTCTGAAATACTTCTTGGGAATGGAGGTTGCAAGATCAAAGCAAGGTATTTATGTGTCTCAAAGGAAGTATGTACTTGATCTCTTAAAGGAGACGGGTATGCTAGGGTGTAAACCTGTTGAAACCCCTATTGTTGTTCCAAAGAAGAGGCAAGAATCCAAGAAAGAAGAGGGCAATTTAGATGAAGAGGGTAAAGAAGAAGATAAAGAGAAAGAGAGGTCAACGGATAAAGAGAGATACCAAAGGCTTGTTGGGAAACTTATTTATCTATCTCACACACGACCTGACATAGCATTTGCTGTGAGTGTTGCTAGTCAGTATATGTGTGAACCGAAGGAAAAACATATGGAAGCTGCATACAGAATCCTAAGATACCTAAAGGAAATCCTGGGCGAGGTTTACTGTTTCAAAAACATGAACAAAGGAACATAAAGGTGTATACAGATGCAGATTGGGGTGGACATCACCAAGACAGGAGATCTACTTCTGGGTATTGCTCATTTGTATGGGGAAATCTGGTTTCTTGGAAGAGTCAAAAGCAGAGAGTTGTATCCAAAAGCAGTGCTGAATCTGAGTTGAGAGCTCTTGCTCAAGGCATAATGGAAGAGTTGTGGCTAAAAAGGGTTCTGAAAGAAATACATGTCCAACTTGATCTGCCTCTCAAACTATATTGTGATAATAAGGCTGCCATAAGTATGGCATTGAATCCTATCCAACATGCGAGGTCCAAGCATGTGGAGATAGACAAGCACTTTATTAGAGAAAAGGTGGAAGATGGAATTGTATGCCTAGCCTTCCTACCGACAAATCTCCAAGCAGCAGATGTGTTGACAAAGGGGTTACACAAACCCGCTTTTGATAATTGTATAAGCAAGTTGGACATGATTAGCATCTATGATCCAACTTGAGGGGAGTGTGAGAATAATTACAGGAATTAGAGGGATATGTCCCATAAAAATAGAGATTTGATAGGATTGGGTACATCCCGTAAAAATAGAGATTTGATAGGATTGGGTCATTAGGAGTAATATTTGATTTTATTTCCTTTTTTTTTTTTTTTCCTTTATAGAAGGTTATGGTACGTGTATATATTCTGACCATATTACTGAATAAGATTCATTTTCGGTTCCTTCCTCTGGCTTGTCTTCGACCACACCCCATGATTATGCTCAATGAATCTCCGGGCATAGTTTCAACAGATGGCCTAAGATAAAGTATCTGTCAACTTATATTGAAAATTGGAAGGAATTTTGTTTAGCGTTTGATCATTTTCCTCCCCATTTTTAATGCAGCTGAGAGGTAAGTAGCACATTGTTTAATTTTTTCCCCCATCGTACCGATTCTTCTCTCTTCAGCCTTGGCATCTGCACGAGGACCTAGTCAACCGAGTTAGAAAGAGCCTGTTCATGGATCATGTTGTTTATCTTTCTCATTTGCATATCAAGATTGTATATAGACTGATTATTGACATATTCTTTGAAATACGTTGAAAGATTCATATAATCACTATGAGTTCTTGGCTCAATTCCTCTGTTGCGAATTTAGTAGAAGCGTTATGGATATCAATGCTGATTAGGAAAATCTTCCAAAAAAGCGCATCTATGGAACAGTTCGACAGCATTGAATCCATTATTAAAATTTTTTAGTACTTTCGACAAACAATGTGGGAGCCTGCTCTAAAGAGTGCCCCACTAGCTGTCATAAAACTGCAAACTGGAATACAAATGTGGCACAAGGATTTACATTACCCACGAACACATTTCACCAACGTGCACTTACACGTTCATTCAATAAATAGTAACACTGTAAAAACCAATAGCACTATGATTTTGGAACTGATGTGACAACAGTCTGCTATGGCTAAAAGTAGATATTGTCCAATCCTGACGAACTCGAATCGTTAACGTTGTGAATTTCTGAGGCAGAGAGTGATGTAAGTCTTATCTTTAGCTTCTCTAATGATTCCAATGTGTTATCAAATGGTGCAGAAGTGAAGGACGCCAACCCTGGATTTTGGCTGTTGTACACTGAGATAACTGTAGCAGCTTCAAAACCACGATTCAGAATGAAGTGGAACAAACCCTTGGGAAACACAAACACTTCACCTGAGCCGATAAACTTCGGGAAGAGCTGGTTTTTGGTGTCAATGAATCCAACCGCCAATTGACCTTTGGTGACAAAGATGATCTCAGTTGCTCTTGGATGATAATGAGGAGTTATAAGACCATCTGCATCAATATCAGCTCTGCCAATGGAGAGTCCAAGAGTGTTCAGGCCTGGAAACGCTGAAGCACCCACAATCTTCATGGAGGAAGAGAAAATGTTGTCAGTAGAACCAGCTTTGCTTAATTCTGAGGTCTTAAAATCTTGAGCAGTTATATTTTCTGGGTTTTTGCATGGAAGACCATTTATGAATATGGTCTGCTTTTCCGGAGGAACTGCTGGACAGGAGTCTTGAAGATTGTCTGGGTCTGCCAAGCAAACTTTGATCGTGGCAAAGACAATGAAGAACAAAAATGAAAGAATGGCAGAGTATTTCATCTTGAATCTCCAGTTGGTTGATTTTCGTCTTGCTCACTTGTCTTTAATGAAAGATCAAATAGTATTCTTTCAATATATATAAAAATATGTGGCTACAATGAGGCCTTGATGTGTTAGTCATGGAGTTGCAAGAAATACAAGTTACGGCAATCTTGGAGTTCACTACTGGTTTTTGCAACTAAGAAGTGCATTGCTTGGAAGAAACATAATCAAATTTATTGGGAATTACCTCAAGTCCTATACCTGTAATTCAAAGGCTGATATTTCATGGCTTGCCCATTATCTTTGAAACCTGAAGGCCCAGTTATGTGAAAATTACATTTGTGGGGCGGTGGGCCACTATATTAAAATTAACATTTTTTAGTATAGCAGTAGATGCTATATGGGGAATGGCTTGGTTGTTGAAAAATTATCGGAGAAAAATAGGTATCCACTTTTAAAAGGTCAAATTCAAATAAGATATGCTGTCAATTTGTAGGCTATGTTTCTTTTTTGGATGAGTTATGTTAGATGTGAATTACAAGGTTCTGATTTTGATGTAGAAAGCAAAGTATACATTCTGTATTGATTTTGAATCATCAACAATTATATGTTATAGTATAATAGGAGAGTATGTGAGATTTTAAAAATAAAAAATGGAAGTGTACATGAAGTTTGTAACCTCATTTCATGTTTTTCATAAAGCATCTGCTCTCTTGGGCCTACTCCCCAGAGTTAAGGGTATTTTAACAAGAACTTAAATTAATTTGGATCGAGTCAAGTTAGGATCCTTTTGAATGAAAGCTATACCACCAACATTGCTACATCACAAGAGTTCAAACTTTGAATCTCAAGATTTTTAATTAGTTAAGTTGGCAAATTTTCTTATCAATTGAACCGAGTGATTTGGTGGTATTTATAACCTCTCTCTCTCTCTCTCTCTCTCTCTCAAATAGCTTTTTAGATAAGAAAAAAAGTTGGGAGTTAGCAATAAAAGCATCTATTGAAACATGGCTATAATCAAGGGAGAATTTCATTTAATGATCACGGAAGCAACTTATCTTCAGGTGGCTCCCAAAAAATTTTAAAATATCAGTTCAATCCTATGGGACTGAATTGAAAATAAGTTGAAAGTGAAAAAAAATTAAAATACCCTCAATTCAAATATAAAAAAATAAAAAGAAAACCGCCGGCCATCGTCATCGGTTACCAGAGTTTCACCGGTGACGGCAGCCACTAAACCTCTATCGTCGGAGCTCTGGCTAGACCACCGTCGCCAGAGCTCCGACTGCCAGATAGACCACTGTCAATGGTGGCTAGAGAATTATAATCTCGTTTGGTACACTAGAATTTTGGCTTTGGAATTGAAAATAGAAATAGAATTCAACAAATTGTTAGTTTGGTATGTTAGAATCTAACTCCATGTGGAATCTCAATTCCACCAAAATTGGTGAAGTTGATTTCCATCATAAAACTTTAGATTTTGAATTCCACATTTTTTTTTCATTTTTTACCCTATCCTTTCTCCTTTCTCGTTCAATCCTCTCACCCTTCCTACTGCCGGTGACCTGTAGAACCAAAACATTCTTGTGATGACCTCCAGGAACTATCAACGATCTCAAATCTTAGATGACAAGTTTATCAGCAATAAGTCTGACAACAACCTCTGTCGTGGACAATGGCGAGTCGACAACAACCTTTGTCGTTGGCAATGGTGAGTTGGCGAGTTCCTCAATGCCAACAATCTCCTCTGTCTCCTTTAATCTCTATCTTCTTCAAACTCTATGGCAAGCTCTGACCTTCCTCATCATCACCAACGGCAAGATCGACAAATCCTTGAAGGTGCAAGTAATGGATTGATCTTCTCTCTCTCTTCCATGTCCTAGATTTGGATTTGATTTCAAGAAGGTGCAGGTAGTTGTTTAGAGTTGATTTCATCTGGGTTTTGTTTCTTGTTCAGTTTTGATTACTTGTAATTTATAGAAGGTTTATTGCTTTGATAATAAAGATAGTTGGAGATTGTTGTTTTGATTTTTACATATTAATGGAAGGTTGCTGGCTAGAGATTCTGAACATTATTGTTTTGATTTCTTTATCCAACTTACATGATCAAGCTTCGATTAACTGCGTAAAAGCAATTTTTTTTGGATGAGAACATTTTAGTCATTCTATATTTTAAATACCAATATTAAATAAAAATAATTTCTCAATTCCATGAACATACTAAACATATTTTCAAACTTCACTTCCATATTTATTTCCATATTCATTTCTATTTTCATCAAAATCATTTCCCACGTACCAAATGGGGCATATGGAGAACTAATTTCTCTAAAGGTGGCCAAGGTATGTGTAGAACTAAGACCCCTTGGTTCACCAAAAATTTTGAACTACTAAGCCACTCACATATTTAATCATATAATACATAAAATTATATATATAATAAAATTATTTTCAAACCATTTAATTATTACATTACTTGTTAATCGCTTAATTTTACTTGTTAATACCTTTAAAGGACTTATTAATTACTTAACTTTTCTTATCAATCCCACGAATCTTACAACAAAAATAAATCACTCGTTAATCATGTAACTATACTTGTTAATACCTTAACAGATCAATTAATTAACTCTTCTTGTTAAGTCCGTGACTCCCACAACAAAACTACATTAGTTGTTAATCACGTAATTGTTATTATTAATATCTTAATAGGACTTGTTAATTATTTAACTTTACTTGTTAAATCCATGACTCCTTCAATTGAATTGCATTACTTGTTAATCATATAACTTTACTTGTTAATTAAGCAATAGTACTTGTTAATTGCATAACTTGACTTGTTAATATTATAACAAGATTAGTTTAACTGTTGTTTCGAAAAAGCAACCAAATTACTTGTTAATTGCATAACGTTACTTGTTAATTCCTCAACAATACTCATTAATTATCTATTGTCACTTGTTAAATGAATATACAATTTACATAAAAAATTAAGTTTGTCAGATAACGAAAGTGATGACAGTCAGGTCTCCCTTATCAGTATTAAGCATATTTGTTAAAATATATTAGGCTTTAATTGTATAAAATTTTTCAAACCTCTAACTTTAATTGTACAAGATTTTTTAAACCTCCAATCTAATCAGTATTTATCAAACTAGAGGGTATTTTGGTCTTTTCTACCCTCAACTTATTTTCAGCCTATTCTCATAAGATTGAACTGATATTTTGAAATTCTTTGATAACCACTTGAAAATAAGTTGCTTCTACGTTCTTTAAATGAAATTCTCCTTATAATCAATAACAAAAAGAGCATGAGAGTCTCTTTTTGGGAAAGAATGGTATGCTACTCTTCCTCTGCAGTAATAACTTGGCGTATCCAAAAGTAACTGAGATGTGATTATCTATATCTGGTGAATGTGTTTCTTGCGTCTCACTTTCTTGATCCTAATTTTTCAATGTAATTACTTGCTGATAAGGTTGGTACAATTAGATGCTTCAAAATCATGGGCTGCACGTTGACGTTAAAACTTCTTGAACAAGTGACCCCTGAACTATATCACTTTTTATGCAGTTAGATTAACTTTTGTGGTTGTCCTATTAAAATATGATTATGATTTATGAAAACCCAGCTACATAGTTTATCTTCGACCCCCCCCCCCAAAAAAAAAGCTAGAGAATCAGTTTGATTGATGAAAGCGTAATGTATAGACGAAGCATTGATAGCAAATAAAAATAAATAATAAGCTTATAGATACATGAAGTTTTTTAAATAAAAATATACTCTTTCTCTTTAAAAATGTAAGCTATTTTTAATCGAATCTCACCTCTTAATAAAGTAGTTATTTACTTTTTAACTAACCCTATTTTTTTATATTTACTCCTATTAAACATCCTATAATAAATATAAAGTTATTATTAATAGGGGTACTTTTAAAAAATAAAGATAATAATTACACCTTAAAAAATTAAAAATATCTTATATTTTTAAATATTTAATTTTTAAAAAATATTTTATATTTTTAAATGAATTGAGAAATAAAAATAAACTATACTGATAGAATAGAATACTAGGTGATATGCTCGAACCCTTCACCCTATGTTATGGCAGTAATCGCTTTGGGAATTCCGTCCATTTGTTTAATACTTTTTAATCGATACAAACTGGGAACCAAGTCACAACTCACACGGATATTTTAACTCGTTCTACTTCATAAAATTAAGATTGTCTAAATCTAATTTGCAGGGTATAAGTTTGAATTTTTTTATAACTTTAATAAAAAATTATTTTTTATTTAAGATATAAACATAAAATGACTTTAAATTTAAACGATCCTATTTTAATTATTTGATGCTCATCATTCATGAACTGCTACAAACTTAAAATCACGACAAAACTTAAATTTTTTTTAGATTGAAAATGATTACTTTTTTTATGACTATAAAGAGTAGTCTCCAACAACAACTAAAATTACTGTCCTTAAACAATGAAGGGAAATGATATACTCTTTCCAAAACATTTACATACATATTGAGGATGGCATAATACAATATGTTAATTATAAAAAAATTAAGCTAAAATAGATGAGGAAACACTTGCTTATTGTTATGTACTTGAAGTACTTTGTTTCCCATTAGGTTACGCTATGCGAATCCATGCCCATCAAGAAGGGTAAATTGGACTTAAATTATTTGGAGTTGGAACTGGTAAATTTTTGTTAAGTTAAAAGGAGAATGAAGGTTTTATATTTTATAAAAAATAACAAAATGTGAGAAAATATTAAAAAGAAAGAAAACTTTAATCTAAATTTATCAATTCCAACTTCAAAAGATTTAAATCCAGGTCAATTTCCTTTAACATAATGTATGAAGATTTAAACTTTTAAATTTCTTATGAGAGAGGTGTGAACTAACATTTAAATTCTTGTTGAGAATGTTCACATTTATTAACAGATTGTGATTAAAAAAAAATTGTGGCATTCTAAATTTTGTAAGATTGAGAATTTTATATGTAATTTTTCCTTCAATTATTTTAGCAAGAGTTCAATTTCCAACCTATATATTATCTTCTGACCATTGGTCTTGGCCATGTACTATTCTGCAACTAATAAAATGTTCACGGGAGAGATCAATTGAATGGAGAGTTGAGGCCATTAAGAAAATCAGAGAGAAAGGAGTATGATGAAGAAGGAACAACACGAGCTTCAATCTCTTGGTGTGTTGGGCATTTTCATGGAATCCTTCAAACTCATATCCACGTGCCCAAAAATCTTCACCCAAATCTCTCTCTTTCTCCTGCTGCCTCTCTCCTTCATCTTCCTCGCTCACTTCCATATCTCTCAGCTCATCTTCTTCAACATTCTTCACAACCAAGCCTCCTTCCATCGAGCTCCTCACGATTCTCAAACCTACGCCATCCTCTCTGATATCCTCTTCTCTCAATGGACTTCCTTCTTCCTCCTCAAATTCGCCTATTTCACCTTCCTCTTGACTCTCTCGCTTCTCTCCACTTCTGCAGTTGTCTACGCCGTCGCCTCCATTTACGCTTCCGCGAATGTCACTTTCAGGAAAGTCATGAGCGTCGTCTCCAAGGTTTGGAGCACTCTTTTGGTGACTTTTAATTGGAACATTGCGCTCGTTTTTGCCCATAATGTGGTTTCTGGACTCTTGTTCGTTCTCTGGCTTGCTGTAATTGGTTTCGATGATTCATTAGGGCTTGTGATTGGGGTAGTTTTGCTGGTGTTGTATTTGATCGGATTTGTGTATATAACCATAATCTGGCATTTGGCTAGTGTGATTTCTGTGTTGGAAGATAGTTACGGTAAAGAAGCCATGATTAAGGGCAAGAATTTGATGAAGGGGAGGATGGGGACCTCCATTGTTGTGTCCTGTGTGATCTTTATGTGCTTCCTGGGAATTCAATTAGGGTTTGAGATTTTTGTAGTGATTGGATTGGGAGTGGGAGGGCAGGTGAGAATTGGGGTTGCAATTCTGTGCTTAATGTGTCTTTTGAATGTGATACTGTTGGGTCTAGTTGTCCAAACTGTGCTCTATTTTGTGTGCAAATCTTGCTACCATGAACATATTGATAAGTCATCTTTAGCAGATCATCTTGAGGTTTATCTAGGAGACTATGTTCCTCTCAAAGCCAGGCATGTTCAACCACCAAAGATTCCAGCTTAGCAAGTTTTCAGTTTACCAATACAATACTTGCACGTCAATCAAATAGTTAGTTCATGCTTGATGATGATGGATCAAACTTAGGCAGTTTATTAAATTTACTTCTTGTAATTTTAGTTTCTAGTTCTTATTAAAAAATTGTGTGTGTACCATAACTTCTTTTATCATTTTTTTTTTCATTTGTATAGATTTTTAGAGTACACAAGATGCATAGGTGAATTTAATAAAATAGATTAAATAATACATTTCAACTTATGACACTCACGTGTCTGTTTTTTTTTATTTCATTTTATTAAAGTTAAAATGCCTGTGGTTAGAATAAATTAGATATTCTTGAGGCTGTGACAGAAATGAGGCTGTATCCAGACTTATTTATTCCCCCTCCTTCCTCATTTCTCCTATTTTCCCCATTATTCTATTCTTAGTTAATTATTCGAAGATTTTAAAGTGGATTTGTTGATTTAATTACATATTTTAAATATGTAATTTTAAAAATTCTTATGACCATTTGACTTAGTGTCTAACTTTAGAATTAATAAAATAAACATTTAATTACCAATGGGGGTTGGGTGCCAAACGAGTTAATTTCTTACAATGTAATGAATCAAGATTTAAAATTTTATTTAAAAATATTTATATTGAGTGGGCGGCCATGCATTAAACAAAATTACATACCCAATATTTGCATCGATTATAATTATATTTTCAACATTCAAACACAGCAACCTCCCCTTTTCTGCCTTTTCTCTCCTTTTTCTTTTGACTATCATAGTATCATTAGATTAAAATTTCAAGGATTTTGATTTCATATTTTGTGAACTATTATTATGATTTAAAATGAAAAATACACAAATAAATTTAAAATATTAAAATTTGATCAAACAATTTTAAAATTGTAAACTATTAATAAAATATTTTATAAATTGATTTTTTTTAACTTTTTGCCACTACAGCTTTAAATTGTGTAGATCAAATTTTAATAATTTAAATTTATTTGTGTAATTTTTATGTAAAGTTGAGTGATAAAGGGAAAAGGAGAGAAAAAATAGAAGGGATAAGGAAAAATGAAAGGGTTGTTTGATTGCCGTTCCTTTAAAAAAAAAAATTGTAACACAGTTGTCATAATTATATTTTAAAACAAAACAAGATGAACATATGTTTAGTTATTTAATTTAAAAATAAATAAAAAATTAAACATAAGCTGACAGTGATAACTGTAGGTGATTATTAGTAGTGATTTATGATAGAAATAAGTTAGGCTAATTATATTTTTTAATAATCAAATGTAGTCTGTCTTGAAAATAAGAAAAATAAATTGAAAACAACTTTAAAAATTTTTATAAAAAAAACAAAAAATGGGAATATTTTTTAAAATAATTAAATTCAAAATACTTATGCAAATGAGTTTTTTTTTTTAATTTTTTGTTTTTTAAAAACAAATTTTTTTTGAAAATAGAAATCAAACAAGTGATTAAACTCCAATTTAATTCTTAATTCAAATTCAATTACATTCAAATCATAGAGGGGTTTTATTTTTCACACCAAGGGTTCAAATTATAAAGGTTGCAAACAAGATTTTTCAGCTAGAAAATGAAGAAGAAAAACATAATTTTTATGTGAAGTTGGGTGATAAGGGAAAAATGAGAGAAAAAAGAGAAGGGATAAGGAAAAAGGAAAAGTTGCTCTCCCTATTTTTCATGGATATTTAGGGGCGTTTGATTGCTATTCTTTTTTGAAAAAAATTGTAACACAATTGTCATAATTATATTTTAAAACAAAAGAAAATGAAAATATTTTTATTTATTTAATTTAAAAATAAGAAATAGATTCATATTGATAATTGTAGGTTATTATTAATAGTGATTTATGATAGAAATAGGTTAAACTAATTACATTTTTCAATAATTAAATGTAATGTGTCTTGAAAATTAAAAAAAATGAAATGAAAACAATTTTAAGATGTTTTCAGTTTTTTTTTAAAGAAAAAAATAAGACTATTTTTTAAAACAATTAAATTCAAAATACTTAAATAAATGAGTTTTTTAATTTTTTTTAAAAAACAAAAAACAGTTTTTGAAAATGGAATAGTCATTAAACTCCAATTTAATTCTTAATTCAAATTCGATTACATTCAACTTATAGAGGGTTTTTTTCAAACCAAGGATTCAAATTATAAAGGTTACAAATAACATTTTTCAACAAGAAAACGAAGGATGAAAACATAATTAATAGAATAAAAGTAACAACATTGTTGCTAGCTTACTTTTAAGGGTCAAATGACTATTTGTACCATAAATTATAAATTTAGCAGTAATTTAAATCTTAAACTTATTTTTTATACATTTTAACCCTTGAACAATTGCATTCACAGTAATATGGCCCCACTATTAATTTAAAACGAATGTTTGTTACTTTGAAAGGTGAGGCCCATATATGTACTAATATGTCGTGGTTGAAGACCTAATTAGTAGCTCTAATAAAAATACGCCTCACAATTCTCACATCAATCTAAGCTAGGTTAATTAGCAATCATGTTTATAACAAGGTTGAAAAAATGCCAACTCAAGACATTAAAAACACCATGCAAACCACTACCAAGTTGGTTATCATTGGGATCTTCATAACGGTCCTTTGAATTTGTGTTGATTCTAAAGTCACTGGTAATGTTGCAGCAGCCATAGTATGGTCCATATCATGATCAATAAGTGACCTTATTAGATCAAAACTGTTTCCAAGTATGACAATGTTACTTAATACACTGGATTTCCAATTTGCTTGCAAGAGATTGTCATATAACAATACATGACAACGTGGCTTGAAAATTATAGTTGGCTATAAAATCCTTCTCTTCCCATCCTCAATTAAATGATAATACTGAACAGTCAAAAGCTTCTAAAATTTGACATTCAATTGTCAAGGGAATTGGATCAAATACCTCTATATTTCCAATTCATCTAAAATCTCTTTCCATCAATAATGCAATTGTATGTGTTTGGTTTTCAATTTATCAAAAATTTATTTACTGAAAGCTTATTTAATAAAAATTAATTTAGTGAAAATTAGTTAATATAACGAAATTTATGTTTGAATATATTTTTTTTAAAAGTTAGTTTAGCAAGCTAAAAGTTATTTGCATTATAATAATGAAATGTACTTTAAAATGTCTAATTACTAAAAAGACCATTAATTTATGATAATTTATAATTTTTATTATATAAATGTAATATATTTAAAATGTTTAAAAAATATGATAAAAATTTTAAATACCATAAAATTTAATATGTTAAATAACAAAAATAAAAAATATAAAGTTTGATATATTGAAAAAATTATATAATAAATAGTTCAAAATATATTAATATTAAAATTAACATGATTGAAGATATATATATGATAAGTTTTTTTATTCAAAAAAAATATTTAACTAATTGGACAAACCTTTGCTGGTTAACAAAAAATCTAAATAACATAAAAATTGATGTATTAATTAATAACAGTATAAAATATAAAATTTGATATAAAATTTTATATATATATATATATATATATAAAAGATATATTTGATATGTCTATTTCACTTGGTTGATAATTATCAAGTTTTTCAAGTAATCATGAATTTAATTTATCGAACAAACTTTAGTTGGGACGGGTAATGAGATAAACATCATATGAAGTTTAGAGTGACACTAGAAAGCATTAAAACATATAGTATGTTCATAACTAATCATCATCATCCCTACACATCTAGAAACAAGGATGATGTCATTGGTATAAACTCATATTGAAAGAAAAGTAAGAGGAAAAAAAACCCACAACTAGAACCAGAAGAGAGGGTTTCAATCACTCCATCAATTCAGTGCCCTAGGTCTGATGCCCTAAGTCTGAGCTAGATGGAATAGATGGCTGAAAATACGGAAAGTCACCTACCAAGATTTGACTTTACAATTTGAAAGATTTGAATTCGATAATTGTATTTAGTGCAAGCATTGAGTGTTTATATTATCTACATTATTAAAATTCATATCAATGGTTCTAAAGTTATACTTCACTTGAGATTAATGAGTGAATGGATTTTTCTCAAACGTTGATATGCATTTCAATGACTTAGATAATCTATGTACTTAATGTCTATAGTCACCCAATTCAAATTCCAACTTCAATCGATCAAAATCAAAATATTTGCAAAATTATCTAACAACCAACTCACCCGCCCACAGGAAAGGGTGTGTATGTACTCATAGAGGATTCAAATAAACAAATGACAGGTTCATCCATTTTAAATTAAAACATAAGTGATTTTTGAATAATTTGGAGATTTTATAAAAAAATATTATATAGTTGTTTAAGAAAACAAATATCATTATTTTATGCTTAGTTATAGTAATAATAAAACTATTATTAGTTTTTTATTTTTAAAACTTATATCTTAATGAATTTTAGTTTTATAAAAATAATTTACTATTTAATTATATTTTCATTTATAACCGTATTTTTACAATATTCTTTCTTATCTACTGTATCATCTTCTTTGTAAAAGTTATTCAAAGTAACTTATTAAAATAATCAAAAAATTATAATTTTTCATTTTAATTATTTTTAAAAATTTAAACAAATACCATAAAATTTTGTAAAATATTTTTTTTGAAAATAATTAATTTTTCATTAAAAAAAAAGGTGAAACCAACGGCCCAAGTTTTCATCAAGTATTCGTTGAGCAGCATCCAATTCAATCGACCAAAATCTTTGAAATATCTATTAAGTAATTCCATTTTTAATGTAATGGGAAAAAATAAAAATAAATGTGGATATAATTTTTATCTAAATTATTTATAGAAATAAAAATTTACTATACAAGTCCTTATAGTTTCTCTCAATTTTAAATTAAATCTCTAAATTTTTTTATTTTAGTTAAACCTTTATAATTTAATCAATTAAATAGGGGTAACAAAATTTTCAATTCCTTAATTTTGTCTCAATTATATATTATCAATTTAATATCTTAT